GGAGCTGCAGGACCTGGCAGAGCCTGTGCCTGGGGTAACAAAGCAGCAAGTCCTGGGCCACAGCTCCAGAGCTTTTTCTTTCTTTTTTTTTTTTTTTCCCCTAATGTTGCCCTAAATTTCTGCCAAGCAAACAGCAACAAGGGCTTTGAGCTTTTGCTCTGCTCCTGGGGGTCAGAGCCTTCCCCAAGCAGAGCAGGGCACGGGCCCCTCCCTGTGGTGCCCATCACAGCACCCCACATGCAGCCCCACCAGCTCAAACCAAGCCAAGGGCATTTATCCACACTTAAGGTAAGAGCTCCAGCTCTGCAGTGGTGAGGATTAAAACCAGGATTACAAACCAAATATACACAAAACATGCAGCTGAGCCTCATGAGCTGGGAATTTGGCCACCATGATCTCTCCTGCTACACCCCTATTTGGAGCATTACTGTCAGGGCACTATGACCCAAATTTTAGGGAGAGCATCAGCCACCTGATAACCTCCTTGTGTCCCCGTGTCTGTGTCCTTGTTCTGTCCCCCATGGGCAGCCCTGGCTCCCAGCCTTTTGGGTGTAAACCACCTTGGAGAGGATGCAGAGATGCACACAAGAGCATGGACTGCCAAAAAAAGTTCTGCCTCCAGCATGGATGAGGTTTACTTGGGTGCTCTTCCACCTGAGGAGTGAGGCTCTTAATTGTTCCATCTTCTTGGAGATTTAAATCACCATTTTCAGAATTCCAGCACTTGGATGAGGGCTTTTCCCCACTGGGGACCCCTCTGCTTTCGTTGGCTTGTCCCTCACTGGCTATTTAGTGACTCTGAGCTCATCCCACTGTCATGGATGAATGGGGAGAGGAGCCAGGGCCCATTGGTTGGCCTACTGGAGATGCCCTAGGGGTTTGTTTCTTCAGGAGGTACCCCAACTCTTTTAATGGGCAGCACCTCAGAAGCTGCAGCAGGAGCCAGGAGGATGGGAAAGGCCCTTTTCCCATTGCCAGGAAGGGTTGCTGATCAGTGTCACCTCTGGGATTTCAGCTCCCTGTCCTGGAGAGCGAGGCTGGTGTGGGGCTGGATGTCAGGGGATGATTTGTGTCCCCAGAGCAGGGCAGTAGCAAGACAACACCAGCCCTGGACACCCTTCCCAGCTGCTTTCTGCTCTGCCTTGGGTCTTTGAGGGGGGGAAAAAAACCTTTAAAGAGGCAAATGGCAACACAGACATTGTAATGAGCAAGTAGAAAGCCTTTGGTAAACTGCTCTGTGTGAATGTTGCATTTGTTGATGTATTATCTTCAGAACATCTGCTTTTCTCCATCTGTATTGGCCTTCCCTAAGTCCATGATTTCACCACTTAATAGCAAGAAATATCAGATGAGGAAGCAAATATGTTTAGGGCTTGTATTATGAAGACAACACACAAATAGAAAGAGATTCATCTTTTCATAATGCTACTTTTATAAAAGGCAATATAAATACAGTGCCTTGTAAAGGGATAAACAGGCTGAAGCTGAGCTGCTGCTGTGGGGTTGGGGACAAGAAACAAAGTGAAGGGAACCAAATTAATGGATAAAAAAGTAAAGGAAAACTCAACCTCTGGCTATATTATATGGCAAATGATCTGCCAGTCGGGAAAGATACATCTTAATAGCAGCTTTGGAAATGAGATGAATACTGTATACAGTCCGTTATAAGGCACAGTGTGATCTGAATCTTAATCAACGTGGGGAAATATAAATCTGAAAATAATAAAGATGAAATCAATATTGATGGTGAGAAGTAAAAGTACTGTATTTGCTGTAGTAAACGGTTTTAAAGTCCCAGGGAAAAAAATTGTTCTAAAAAACCCATAGTAATTCACTATAGTTTCAATAGCTGGCACAGCTCCAGCATATTTTGGTGGCATTTAGATGCCACTATAGAAAAATTTTAAATGCAGCAAGGAAAAAAAAAAAAAGCCCATTGCTCCTTCCTGTGCAAAGGTGGTGCTGGAAGTGAGTTCTCCCTTCTGCTGGGCTGGTGAGGCCATGCTGGCATCCCAGCTCAGATGGAGACACGTGGTGGCCATTCTCCTGCTGCTTAGCCATCACTGGGCTGAATAAGCCACTCTCCTTGTCCTTCCCTGTGTTTCCACTTGCTAAGAATAAGACATGAAATTCTGATGTGCTATAGAAAACCTTTTTACATTCAAGGGTTTGCCTTAGATAGCTTTTATTTTCTTGTCCTCTGCCCAGGTGACAAATCCTGTAATGAGAGGTGATGTCACTTATGCTTAACCTTCTTGTCATCAGTGTAATAGGTTAAATGAAATTTGCTGCTCAAGTGGTAGCCTCATTGCCCAGCAGATATAAACCCTGAGGTGGCTCTTTGCTGCCTGTGTTAGTGCCAACACTGAGGACCATCAGTGCTCCCAACATGGGAGCGTGGCTCTGCACCCCGAGCATGAAATCCCTCTCTCAGAGCCACAGGGATTTGGAGAAAACCAGTTTGACAAGTAAAGGTGATGAGCATGCAAGTGGTGGGAGATGTGGGGCTGGCTCCTTATTTTGGAGAGGTGTTTTCTACGGATTTTCCATCTCCTTAATATATACCAAGAACCATGGTGGACATTCTTTGTGCTGCTTTACAGTAACCCTCTGCGTTTTGGGGAGAGCATCACAGGACCTGTGTGATGTGGTTGTCTTGTTTGTGAGAGCTGGAAATACTGTCTGAGTGTGGTGATCACACATTTTACATCAAAGGGCTCTGAGTGGAAATCTTTGTGTTTGGGGAGCAGCTGTAGTTCCAAGAGCTAGGCAAGCTGGCAGAGATGCTGCGCCAGATCCATCACCCAGAGGAATGAGACACTGCAGCTGGAGCTCCAGCAGAACCTAGCCTGGCTCTGAGGCTGAGCCTGGAAGAAAAGCTGTTTCTTTAGGATAAAGATCCAGGGCTTTGTTGGAATGTGTTTCTGGGTGCTCAGTGCTCAGCCCTGGCTGAGCTGAGCTCTGGAGGACATCAGAGAGGAGATGAGGACCGAAGTTGCTGCTGACTTTGGAGATTCACTTTATTACTTGGGTGTTTGGGTTCAAGTTTGGACCCAAGTGAGAACTGGGATAGCTTCTGGGAGGAGGCAGAAGTTGGATCATGGGTTAATCTAGGTGCTCTGATGTGTGGGAACAGGGCTGCTGTGGCTGTGCCTGTCTTCGCTCCTTGCTGTGAGTGATGGAGAAACCTGAGGAGCATCCCCACTAAGGTGATGTCCCTCTCCTGTTGGAGCAGGAGGTAGGAGGTTGTGCTTGCTGGCTCTAAATTCACTGTATCCCTGTGAGGTTTGCTCCTGAACTGCCCATCCCAGCTATTCCCTGTTCACCCAGTGCCTGTGTGTCTCCTGTGTGGTCTGTCAGCTGCTCACTGGTGGCAAAAGGGTTGCAGAGATGGGGGGGCTGTGAGCTTTCAGGGCTGGCTGAGCTGTGCAGCCCTCAGCCAGAGCATTGTATCTCCTCAGATACAATATCACACTGACAAGCAGAGCTTATTGCAGGTCATTTTTGTGCCCATTTCAAACCAGGGTCTCCTGAGCAACCTCCCTGCTGCCATGGCTGCAGTCGCTGGCAGGGCATCTGGGGTTTATTCTCTGCAAAGGTTGAAAGTTACTTGGGGGCAATGGTGTCCTCTGCATTTAATTATTATTTCTTAAAAGCCTAAGATATGTGGCTCCCTATGGAGGGGTGCAGGTTGAATATTGATGGTCATAAACCATGCCAGAAGGAAAAATGTGGGCTGTTCACTGCTAGCGAATGGACTTTAAATCAACAACCAAAGCAGTATGGGTTCATAAAACCAGGATTTTTTTAGCCTTGAGGACACAGGTACTTTAAATCCCAGCCTTCGGGTTCACTGATCTTTTGGAGAACAAACATAAAACTTCACTGAGAAGGACCTGACATCAGCATGTATTTTTTTTTTTTTTTTTGTGCTGAGAGTATTTGAGGTAGTCCTTTTGGTTTTGCTCACTGCTTATGACATTTCCTTGTATTATAATGATCTCAGCAGCAGCAGGAGGAAAATCTCGTGACCCAGATGCTGCAGAACGGGAGATTATTTACTGTGGTAGTCGAGACGTGGTGGTGGTTTGTGGTGGAAATGGCAGGCGAGGCGCTGGAGGTGGAGAGCTTGCTCCTTGTCAAGCCTGACAAGGCACGGCTGCTGATGGATTGAGTTCTCTTGCCCTTTTATATATTCTACCAGGTTTTAATTGACACGCAGCCTCTTTACAGGGCTCTGTCCTTCCACCTACACAACGCAGATGAGCTCAGAGGTGCTGTTTACCCAGGGCGGTATCGATTGCGAGGTGTAGTTGGGTAGCTGACACAAGCAGCTATTCAAACTGGTGGAATCTGATCTCAGGCCCTGGTGGGAAGGTCCCTACAGGCTGTGACACCCAGCTCAGGTGGTGCTCAGCCCAGCACCCCATCCCTGCGCAACCCTCGCTGCTGCTTCTCCCCGGGGGACCTGGAAATCTGCTCGCCTACACCTTTGGTGTATGGGCTGGCTGAGCCCATAGACATGTCCTGTGTGTTTGTATCTGTCTCCAGTCTGCTCCAGCTTCCTCAGCCCTCCTCTGGTTTTGCCTTCCTTGCTCAGTTTTTGTTCTCTTAATCCCTTTTTTCCCCAGCACAGTTTCCTATGTGCGCCGCAAGGCCAATAATCGCCACGGAGGATTTTCAAACAGTGCATCTGAAATTAGAAAAAACATTTTTTCCAGCCTATTTAATATTTCGTCGTGTAAAATAGACAGATGGAGCTGTTTTTATCAGCGTGCTGTGAAAAATGCCAGAATACTGATTTACACAGTTTTTGAATCAAACCTCTTGGAAGGCAGTGACCTCTTTACCTGGCCCACCCTGGACCAGGCATTCCTCATCCTGGAGCTAAATTCAAGCTGCTGGCAGCTTCCAAGGGTGACAAGCATCCCATAAGCACTTCTGGTGTCCTCACTGGGAGACATCAGGTTTTCAGGGTTTATTTGTTTCTTTTTTCCCAGGTTCCAGCCAGCAGCTGGGTTGATGGAGAGGATCCAAGCTATAGCCCAAAATGTCTCGGACATTGCGGTAAAAGTAGATCAGATTCTCCGGAACAGCCTCCTGAATGGGAAAGGTGAGAGTCCCTGGGGGTCCCCGTGCTCCAAACCTCCTCCCTGTTACTCATATAGGGAGATCAATCCAGCCTACCATGAAAAATGGGGTTAACATGAAGGGGAATGGATGCTGATCTGAGGTTACCCAACTCACTCTGGTCTGTAGGATTAAGTAAGGCACCTGAAGATCTTCAGCAGACCTCATGGGGCTGCTTGGGTCCAACTCTGCAGCACACAGTCACACCCTCTCTTTGAGGCAGAGGAGGTCCTGAGTGTGGTCTGAGCCTTTTCAGAGGCTTCCAGGACTCTCAGCTTGCTATTACAGGGATGTTCTCCTAAAAACGTTGCCTCCCTTGGCCCAGAAGGACTCAAGAGTTGGGGAGGTCAATCTGCAGAGGAGCAAGACCTGGGAAACTCATTCAAGGTGACAAATCTGAATTGCTGTCAGAAATAAAGGCCACTGAAAGAAATGCAGAATTAAAGATGAGGAGCAGCACCGGCACAAATACCTGGATAAAATAATGTGCTGGTTTGGATTCCAAGCCCAGAGGCTGGGATCCAGTGCCAGGAGAGATGTTCCCACCTCAGTCTGGCAGTGCTGTGAGGGCAGCTGGGCTCTCCAGATGTTTCTCCACACAGCTCCATGGGTCCTGGGATTTGGGCTGGCATCATGAAGTAGAAGATGCTTCTGTTGCCTCTTCCACCTCATACTTTTTCAGTTCTAGGCAAAGGAGGACTTATTGGAGGGGTGGTGTCTTTTATTAATGCCAACACAGAGGAAGAAAAACCCTATTTCTTTTTTAGCCACTTTTGTGCCTTATTCCAGGACTGACCCCAGGGGTTGAGTCTTCTCTCGACAGCTCAGCAGGACAGTTTTTATTGCAAGTTTACAGCATAAAGGCTGTCAGGTGCTTCCTTAGATGCTGCAGCCTACTTACGGATGCTTAACAGGACCTGGGGTCTGGAGCAGGCTGAGAGCAGCAGGCAAGTGCTGTAAAGACACCTGCTGAGAGTTAGGAAAGGGGAACGTGCTCTCGGTGTTGAAGCAGGGCTGGGGGGTTTCCTCTGTTTCTTTCCTGACCTTGGGGAAGGTGCTTCACATTTTGGGGCCCTCCTCCATCAAATGGGATGTGACTGTCTGCTGGTCCAGATGTTGTGCTGATGAATGTGTTGGGGGCTGGCAACCCCACCCCATCCCAGTATTTGTAGCCGCTCTGCCAGCATGTCCCAGCTCTGTCTATACCCAAATTGTCTTTCTGCAGTGATGGAAGGCAGGAGGGACCAGTGTGATGTGCCCAGGGACCCCAAGTACCCTGACTGTGCTGGGAAAGTAGAGGTGAGTCGGGATCCCTGTCTGGGAGAGGGTGTCGACCTGAGGTGGAAGCTGCTGGGAAGGGCACAAAGCAACAACCCAAGGGGCCAAACTGGGAAGGGCAGCGGGCTTCCAGTGGCTTTAAAATGGGCAAGCTGCAGCCAGCTGCAGGAGGAGAAGCAGAGCCAAAGCTGTGGAAAGCAAGGCACGCTGTGTTGTGAGGAGAAAACACAAGGGAGGTGTCTGACCTCCTCTGGGAGCTGTTACTATACAAGTGTAGCTGTTTTCCCCCAATAATGAGGCCTCTGCCTTCAGAAGCACTGAAGCCACAGTAGGCAGAGGTGTGCAGACAGCAGCAGGATCAGCTCTGTGGGACCCCCTCTGCCTGCAGCCCTCCCTGCCCGTAGCTTCTGTGTGTTCTGACAGAAGGGTGATGAAGGGAAAGCACTGTCACTTTGCCTTTCAGTATCTGGAGCGTTCACTAGTGTCAAGGGAATAACCTCAGCATCCCACAGAAGAGCATCTCATTAAGGAGGCCAGGACCTCCACCTCAAACAGGATGCCCTGCCTGACCCAACCTGCTCTTTAAACCTGCATGCAGCCTGGCATTTGGCCCAGAGCATGGTTATGATGTCAGAGAACATATTTATTTGTGCTAATTAACAGTGTTTTCCTCCCTCCCCTGCCCGACCTCCTGCTTCGAGCTCAGGCTTCTTCAGGGTTGAGTCTCCCTGGCAAGATGTTGAAGAGTATATTAAAATGATACTGGGGGGTTGTGTTTTCCTTTTCCCCTGGTGCTGGGCATCCTTTCCCTCCATGCTTTGAGTAAATTCAGAATGTAATTTGATTGTGGGAGGCCATAACTCCATCTCCCACCCAGGTAATTGCTGTGCCTTACATACTGGGCACAGCGACCTGTCTCCTGAGCAGATTGGGTTTTGTAGCTGAATGAGGAGGAAGCTGGCAGGAACTGTTGCAGGGGATGATAAATCTCCTTCACGGGGACTCATCCTTGGGGACGTGGTGGATCTGTCTCCTTGCCCCACTGTGCCCAGGGACATGAGATGAGCAGCTCAGCTCCCTGCCCAGCAAAGCTAATGAGAAGAAAATCCTGTGGTGTGGCATTTCCCAGGGATTAACGGCTGTGTCCCCAGGGAAGGCATGTGTTGGTGCTGGAACCAGTGCTAGAAACCCAAGGAGCCCCCAGCAAACCCTCCAGGCTCTTCCTCTGCCTCGTGCCTGGAGGCACCAGGCAGGCAGACATTTGCTGCTTGGTGTGCCCCGGCTTGCAGCCCTTTTTCCACCCTCTGCCCCTCGTTTCTGGCTCCCACCCGGACAAAGGTGTTGGAGAAGAGAGGATGCCCATACCAGGGCCAGCTGGCAGGGCTGCCACGTCCCCCCAGCTGGCAGGACAAGCCCCCGTGTTTCTCTGCCCCCTGGCAGTGGATGAGGGCCAGGTGGACCTCCGACCCCTGCTACGCATTTTTCGGCGTGGATGGCACCGAGTGCTCGTTCCTCATCTACCTCAGCGAAGTGGAGTGGTTCTGCCCTGCCCTGCCCTGGAGGAACCGCACGGGGGCTCTGCCCTCCCCCCCGCCGCCGCCCCGCCCCCAGGTAAGGAGGTGGCTCGTGTCCTGCTGCTCCGGGGGGCCTGGGGGGAGGCAGGTTCTTCAGGGCTGGTGGGAATAAGTGTTCCCATCACCAGTAGGGTCAGCAGGGCTGTGATGCCTCACGGGGGTTTTCATAGAAACACAGACTGGTTTGGGTGGGAAGGGACCTTTCAAAGTCATGTAGTTCAGCCCTGCAGGGAGCAGGGACAGCCCCAACTAGAGCAGGGTGCTAAGA